GAATAGACAATTTAAGAAAGACATAATGAGCCATCATTTACCTGTTCACAAGCCTGTACATAATATACGATTCATTACATATCCACATGATATGTTTCGAAGAGTACGAACGACTAATCGAAAAGAATGCTTGAAGCAGAATAGGACTCAAACCTATATCTCCCGATGTCCGGTCGGTTGTTCATTCTGCTTCACTTTTCCTGTTTCCTTTTGGCTTTTACGTTTTGTCTGTTGATTAGATACGTGATAGATGCTATGTACCAATTGTTTTCATTACATATGCCACAGATACTATGCATTACGATATTCACGTGCAGAGGCCCTTTAGCGTTACCCAGAAAACACCGCGAGAAGGTGGGCTTGACTTGTTTTCCAAAAAAAGATACCAAGCTATGCATTTAGAGTCAGTCGACATTGATTAATGTCATGGAATGTGAAAAAGTAAGTTTAATTAAAAGCGCTATATTGGGTGTGGGTGTGGGTGTGAGTGTGGGTGTGGATGCGTATGTGGGTGTCGGTAAGCATCTACAGCCACACTCGTACTCACCCACACCCACACCCACCCACACCCTCAAGTTCATCCAGCAAGAAATCTATTTTTCATAAGGAACCACGATTTTCGAGTACCCTGAAGAGAGAGATATGCGTTGACGTGTGTATGTGATAAAGACTTCCATGGCACCCTCACACAGTGGCGAGCTTTCGCATAACCAGGCGGGCATGCAATTTTTTGCTTACGAGTAGGTTTCATTTGCTTAGAAATAACCATACACCACTCAGAAAATTGTCTTTAGGAAAACAAAAGGTTTTTAAGAAAAAAAAACTTTTTGAAAAAATATAGCTTGGGTCCCTGAGCCATAATTTTCTGAAAAAATTATTTTTGAAAAATATGTTGAGCTACATATCATTCGAGGTAGTTTAATGCATTGATTCCGAATATCACCTTAATTTTTCTTCAAAGTGTAATATGGAAGCCTAAAACCGGATTTTTGGCCAGAAATCTTGGGTTTTTGGGCATCTTGTAAAATATCCTAGGAAAGGTTTCATGAGTATCTGCTACTACCGTAAGTAGAATACATATGTAGGAGCGTCTGGTAAAATTGCGCACTCGACTAGACTTTATCCCTTTGTATCGTTTGGAATATACGGAATGGTATGATTTTGGGCCCGATTTACCAATAAAAGTGTGCCGTAAATTTCTTCAAGAAGTATTGAATATATATGGTTCGATGCAGCCTGACGAGTTGATTCCGAATATCACCTTGGTCTTTCCTCAATATATAGCACGGGAGCCGAAAATCGGATATTCCACCAGAGCCTTCAGTTTTTTGGGTATTATCCAAAATAGCCTAGGAAAGGTTTCCTGAGCTGGCACGTCTACAGTAATTAGGATACATATGTAGGAACATCTGGTAAAAATGCGCGCTTGATTAGGTATGATCTCTTTGTAGGGCTGTTAATATACTGAACAGTAGTCTTTCGGGCAGATTTTCGGCATAGAGACTTTTTATTTTCTACTCTGTTTTAAGTTGGATTACGATAATTCTTTTTTTGCCATAAAGTTCATAGGTGAACAAGTATTTTGCGATATTGTTTGCTTGTGGAATATTGTGTTATGTTGCCAAGCGGCTTGGCTTTCTTCATTTATGCCGATTTCTGAGCCCAAGCCTTATCAAACTCTTTTCTTGGGCTTTATAAAACTTTGAGAGCTGCTATTTTGGGGAATAATAGACCGCATATGTATGTATCTACGCAAACAGCTAAATTGTGGAAAAGAATATTTTCGCATATGTGCGCCTGGTTCCCCACTGTGACAGGCGTCAACGCTTGCCGATTCAGCGTTACTTCACCTGTGTATTGACTTTGTGTTGCTTTTTTTTCTTGTAAGTTGGAAAAAACCCGCCGATGACAGCCAACAAGGTGCGCCATTCTCCATTTTCTTATCAAATATTTACTATTCAGGTGAAGGCTGCTATTCAAATGGGCTGTGTGCAAAGACATCGACTTTACGCGAAAGAAGAGCAAAAGCATGTGCATCAACCAACTTTTTTCTCTCTTTCTGCGAATGACTATCGCAACACAAACGACGTACTGTATCATTATTAAAAAACAAAACAAGAGTTGACGATGTTTTGTCGAGCCTTTTTGAATACATAAAATGTTCACTGTAGACTTCTTGATCGATCGATGATCGAGCAGCACAAAAATGAAATTTTTGAAAAGTTCATTGCTCAAAACTATGCGAATATTTGTGAAAAGTGCATAAAGATACTGGACTCACGAGGGAAAGTCTCCAACTGATCCACAGCATTTTTGTTGATATTTTGCCAAGCTGGAGGGTCCGACAAGACTAGAAAAAAGCCTAAAAGCGTAATGGCCCATAGGCCTTTTCCCGCAAGTTATGATCATTTTACTTGGTTCACCACTAATGACAAGGGATTCAGTGGAAAATCCAATTACTGAGTTTTGATCTGAAATTTTGTCAACATGCAAGTCTTATGGCCTGTATAGTAGCCTAAAAGGTTCAGCCAAACCCAATGCTTCTTTCTCGAAATATTGCGTGCTCAAAAAAAAAACTTACCATGTTACACACATGTCAAGAAAATCGATTTTTATGGAAAACTCAATATTTCGAGAAAGAAGCATTTGTTTTGACTGCAACCTTTGGCCTAATATATAGACCATTAGACGTGCATGTGAACAAAATTTCAGATCGAAATTCGATAATTTAATTTTTCGCTGAATCCCTTGTTATAGGTGATAAATCCAGTAAAATGATCATAACTCCAGAAGGAAAGACCTATAGGTCGTTATTCTTTCAGGCTTTTTCTAGCCTCATCGGATCCTACAAATGGGAAAAATATCAACAAAAACAGCATGGATCAGTTTAAGATCTTCCCTCATCAGTGATTTTAATGTTGACTTGTTAGAATTCTAGTCTGTAGTCGACTTCTCAATGATCAAGGAGCTCGAATAAAACAAATTGGGCAAAAATGAACAGGAAAAAAATTCTCTGTGAGGAAAAAATCGTCTGAATTGATATTTTTGACTCGAATTTGTCGAGATTTGGGTGTGGGTGTGGGTGTGGATGAAGCAAAGAACTACATCCACACCCACACCCATAATACTCTCTGCTGCTGAATTCAAACATGAAGTATGCTGTGTGAGACAAAGATCATCTCACATGGTGAATTGCATGTTTCGATAAAAACCTTTATATAGTACTCAATTGATTTCCACATACTTGTGTTCTGACAGAACGACCTTCACTAATCGATGAACACTAGTAAAAAAATGCCAACATACTTATATCCATCGCCAGTGGTACATACGCTGGAAAGGCATATGGACGATTACCAAAGGATCCATAAATCTTTTGTCATTTAGAGTTTAAACATGTACGAGTATTTCTTGAATCCCAGAATTACAATGTATCAATCAAATAACCTAGTTATAGATTTCTGTAAGCAGATATGAGATAAATACAGAGTATGAAGCCTTATGAGCCTTGGATTTTTCAGTAGCACATGATTATGTCAGGCTTATTGAAGTCGTATTTAAAAACTCAGACTATAGAGGTGCGTTGAAAAACAACAAAATCCGTAAAATAGTCGTCGAATTTCGATCGTTAGATCCTAAATCGTTTGTTGCCCGTACTTTCGAGTTGGTTCACGCAATATCCTAGATGCATAAACGATACTCAGGTAGGTTTGTTATTTTCGAAATATTTCTGAACTAAGGATATGTCGATTCATCACGACAAAGAAATGCGGGCTTCATCCCATTGTTTTTGGTCTGGTGAAGAAAATCGGAACCGCTAACGAACTTGATACCGTGATTAATCTCGTGTTACATTCCATGTCAGTCTATGCAGAGTTCCTGGACATACTGTGTGTGACAAATCCCTTTAGTGGTTCAAAATTCAATGAATCAGCATAAATGAAGAGAAAACTGTTGTTTTCTCAGTCATTTCTCCTTAAATCAATGTATATTCTTCGTTTCAAAATGGAATGTTCACCGCTCGTTCCGTTAATGTCCCAAAAATGTAATCAGCTAGAGAACTGCAGTTCTCATCAAAGGCTAGAAAATCTTACGGACAGGAGTTTATAAAACGGACAAGAAGATCTATATTATAATGTTCAGTGTCTGCCTGTGCTAGGTCAAAGGTCAAGGGTGAAAGGTCAAAGGTTAAAGGTCACATAAAGCTATAAGTGGAAGATCTCCAGGGACTATTTATGGGGTACTTATAGGTCCCCAAGGGCTGTCCTATGGGGTATCCATAGGTCCTCAAGGGCTATCCTAGTGGGGTACCCATAGATCTCCAAGGGCTCTTAAGTGGGGGCACCCATAGGTTCTTAAGGGCTATAATATGAGGGTACCCACAGGTCTCCAAGGCCTATTATATGGGGGTACCTATGGGTCCCCAAGCGCTATCCTGTGAGGGTACCCATAGGTCCTCAAGAGCTATCCTATAAGAGTATCCATAGGTCCTCAAGGGCTATCCTATGGGGGTATCCATAGGTCCTCAAGGGCTATCCTATGGGGGTACCCGTAGGTCCCCAAGGGCTATCCTATGGGGATACCCATAGGTCCTCAAGGACTATCCTATGGCGGTACCAATAGGTCTTCAAGGGCTATCATAGGGGGGTATCCATAGGTCCCCAAGGGATATTATATTGTGATACGCATAGGCCTTGAAGGGAGTAAGGCAATAGGTAGATAAGGCTATAAGGCTGAAGGCTGCATGGACTATAAAAATATGTGCGATATGAGAGTATGAGGTCGTAGGGCAACCTATCTATATACATAATATCGAGTGTCTGTATGTATTTTACCGGATGAAAAGTTAAATGTCTGAGGTCATACATTAAAGGAGAAAACAGCCATGCTGTATGCACGGGTTCTCGCTAGTATTCTAATACTTTTCAAATTCTTTATTATAAATAATATTTATGTATGTAGTTATTTATTCATGGATATAGAATAAAAAAATTAAGTTGTCAATTTTCTAAACGATGTAAGGCGTTTGTCATACAATGAGCACCACCGCATCCTTCAATCAAGCCTTTTGATGGAAATGTTTCGACATGACATGGACGTTGTCTATCATGTTCCAGTTGATTGATTATACCATTGATAGGATCACCACCAGCATAAGTAATTACAGTTTGATTACCCAAGCACAACATATTATCACGACACTGATGTTGTTCAGCAATAGATGTAGCTTCATCGGCCGCATCATAAAATTTCAACTCAACATTACTCAGAAGATGTCGCAGCGCTTTGCGCACATCTTTTCCATGCGAAAGCCATTCTGTCTTGGCACCTTCTTCTCTAGGTGTCTGTACAGTGTAGACAGTCAACTGTTGGGCCAAGTGACTATGGCAAATAAATGAGTGACGACCGACCGAACTCATAACGGTATCCAAATGCATATAATCTCGATTTTCTGGTAATTCAATAGCAATCACTCGACGAAAGAGTCCAGTCCGTTCGATTCCTTCAATGCCGGCCCGATTTGTTCTTTCACCGTTACCGATAAGAAGCGTGCCATGACCAATATAAGCCACATCACCACCTTCAACAGTTGCCGTAGAGTCTGTATGAGTCTCCCAGTCGACTACATGAATGCCACGAAGTGACAAATGTTCATGAAATGTATGGAAAGTGAAGATGACGCGCATAATAAGCGGTTCATTACGTCGAGCTGGTTTAGCCATGCGCCATATGAAGACATTTTTTTCTATTATTGAGAATGAATCTCGAGTGAACAATAGATTTGGCAGAGGAGGTATTAAAAATTCATCCTTCAATGAACGAGCCTTGAGAAGAATTGATTTTAAACTTCCGCTATGACTGAGTTCCTCTTCTGTGCAAAGAAGACCTTCCACTACAGTATGTGCTAATTGAGTGGGCGTAAGACTGTGAAGAAATTGACTGAGAGCACTCGATACTTCTTTATTAGAAAGATCACTATGATCAACGATGCCATCAATGAGCATTGTTCTTGCTTGGGGACTATGTTCCAATGTTTCACGAAGAAGATCTAATACATAACTACTGTTCAGAAACTCGTAGAAGATCACAGTAGTTCTTCTCTATAACCGTCGAAATCATTACGCAGTATCAGAACCATCTCATAGAAGACTTGTACATTTTCTTTGCGTAGAGCATCTGCAAAAGCATCGTGCGATCGGTGAGTCTCATCGATATTGGGTATGTTGTCGAATAAAAGTATATCTTTGTTTTCTGGTGTGAGACGCTCAATCTCTCGTCCAGGACGATGCATCAATACTGCATCGAGTTTACCAGATTCCGAATATACACCGACCAATTGCTTGTGTAGCGCATGGTGGTGAGCTGGATGCCGATGATGATGATGATGATGATGATGGTGATGATGACCATTAGTATTGTGTGTAGGTAATTGAGACATGATAAAAAAGTGAAGTGATGTAAAATAGTTTTCAGGATTCTTATATTTAAAGTCGGCAAATGAAAAAAAATTACTGATATATAAAATATTTATTTTTTTTATTCTTTATCACTTGTGTCTATTGGGTACTATGAGTTATTTTCCAGCACACAATACTGCGCTGTTTACGGCTTATCTTGATTCTTTTACAATGAGTAAGTAATGAAAGATAATAAATAATGTAATGACGTTATTCATGTCTTCTGGTAGATTCCTTCTACAAACATCAGCTACACGTCATTAAAGAGTCCCACCCCACCCTACCACACCTTTTTTTCTTTTATCGCCAGACGAAATACTCGAGAGTGCTTATATCAATAAAGAGGAAGAAAAAAAAACTTTCTTGTTGATAATGATATCGGGCATCGATGAAGACTCTGAAGCTTACTACAGATATATAGCCCTCTCTATCAAGTTATTTAACATTTTATTCTCAATAGAAGCACACATGAACCAGTAGTGAAAATTATGGATTTGGATTAATGAAGCATTCTACAGAGACGATTCTCGTACGCCATGTTGGGCCTTCAATAACCTTCGGTGTCAAAAGAATCTAAGCATTGTCTTATCATTATTTGCTCGAACTACATCAGTCTAAAAGAAGTATTTATTTTGAGGGTGAAAAAATTGGTTTTTTCCTTTTCTTTTCTGTAGTTACAAAAACTGATTACGTTGATGTTGGTAAGATTGATAAACGCTATTATAGGCATAGCTTGTTTGCGAAGCAGTTTTTCAAAAATTCTTAATGAAATATGTGAAAGCAATATCATTTATGACAACTTGGGTGTTGATATGAGTGTGGGTCTGGGTGTGCGCTGTGGGTGTGGGTGTGAGTGTGGATGTGGGTGGGTGTGGATTTGGATATGGATGTGGAGTGTGGGTGTTGGGTATGGGGTGTGGGTGTCGGGTGGGGGTGGGGCCACTGAACAGAAAAGTTATACCCACACTCACACCCACACCGACCCAGCCACACCCAGCCACACCCAGCCACACCCACACCCACACCCACCCACACCCTTCATCATAAAAAATCCACGTTTGATATTCTATGTAGTTCGTTTATAATTCGAGTACTCAACCGACGACAGTCAAAATTTGATTCATGTATACTTCTTATAGTCAAATAAGGATATTCAAATTTCAATTCCTTTATAATTCGACGACATAAAAAAATAACTGTCAAAATTCGAAACGTTTATGACTTGACTAGTCAAATAAAAAGATTCAAATTTTAATATCTCTATACAGCGAGTGCATGCTTAAGAATTACTGAATTTCAACTTGTTGATAATTCCACTACTGAAACAATTACTACCAAAATTCGATTATTTTTGAACTCGAATACTCGAATAATAACTATCAACATATCGATCATTTCGTAACTTCAGCACTCGAATGACGAGCTTTCATGCTAACCGTCGAAAAAAAATGTTGCACACCCCTGTCAAGTAAGGCATTTCCAGACTTCTCGCGTACTTTTGAAAAAGAACTCAAGAAACTTCTACTATTTCAAAAACTTCTTGCGATTAGACCGTCAAGAAAGTAGTAGCGTAACCAGAGGGGGGCAAGGGGGGCTGAGCCTCCCTACGAAAGTTTTTGCCCCCCCCTAGAAAAATTTCTATCCCCTTTTATTAAAGAAAATTGCGTTTGATTTCTGTAATAATAGAAATCAACATACAGCTTATTCATAACAGCAGGCATCATCAACAATAAAAAGTCCAGAACTCGAAGGAAAATCCCTTAGAAAATGAATTTCTAATGCACATTTTTCTTGCATTTTTAAGAAGTTTTCGCTTCGCAACTTAGGTCTGCCCGATTAGTTTTCATTTTGATCAGTCTTCTCTCCATTTCGAATTAGCATTTGAAATATGATTCGTTTATCTGTGTGACTTAGGCAATGGGAAGCTTTGTATACGCCTCGCGTTTATCTTCCACTTTTAACACAGTGATTGAAAGCGTAGAGAACTTTAGTGGCTGAACATATATGAGTGCTATAATTTCGTTCTTGTCACTCCAGAAGCGTGAGTTTTTATTTCATTGAACTATACAATATTTTAGTCAAACCGTTTTTATTCCGTTCCAAAAAGGTGCCGCCTTCGGCGGCATGCTCTCCTTGAATAAATAATAAATCAATGCTTTTTATACCGCTATTATCTCATCAGAAATTTTAGAGTCTAAGAAGAAACAAAATTTCTCACTGCGTGGTATTGTCCAAACAATAGTATAGAAAAGAATGGTGAGGAACAGTTTATACGGTATAAAACATTTTACTCTTCTTATATTTTGACGCCAGATATGTCTCTTGGAGGTAGGGTTGTACTAAACAGTAAGTAACGGGTAGGAGCAAAAGAAATTCTCGATATTTTCGATAAATTGTTTCGAAAAAGGGTGTTTGTAACAGGTAAATATGGGTTTTGTAGCACGTTCAATAGGATTTCGTATGTGCTATTCAATTTTTATACACGTCATACGAACTAAAAAAACTAGACAAAGAATTATGTTGTTTCGTTGTCTACAGTTGGGGAGGGGGGGGGGGGGCTGAGCCCCCCCTACGGATTTTTCCTGGTTACGCCCCTACTATAATAAAGTCTCATCAAAATGCTCGAAAAGGTTAAAACAAAAAAGCTCATTTATGATTGGTCGGCTTTCTAGCCAATAGGAAGGCCGGATATAGAATCCGCCCTCAGATTAGGAATCCTGGCCCTCGATAACCTATAGTAAAGTTTCATCAAAAGGCCCAAAAAGCTTAAGATAAAAAAAGCTCACTTCTGATTGGTCGGCTTTCTAGCCAGTGGAATGGCCGGGTGTAAAACCTTACCTAAGGTCCGGATTTCTCGACCTGGATTACCTTTGGTGGAACTCTACAAGTTACGCCTAAATGAACTTCACCTCTGATGTTTTTTTGACCTTTGACGCTGACAGCCACCCACCCACATACAAACTTTTTTTCTCGTATGTCCTAAACTTACAGGAGGCCTCCTATATATTTATTACTTAGAAATTATACATAATTAAAACTTTTTCTCTGACTAGCGGGAATGTGTCCTATGATTGCGTATTTATATTTAAAGTCAAATTAGGCAACTCATGCATTTTTTTTGCTTTCACAATGTCCTTGTATATATAGTATAGGAGTATATAGTGAAAGAACGAAAAATTCAGGATATCTCGTCACGAACATTTTTGAATAGACATTTTAGACTGTTACGTTACGACACATACATGCGACACTTTTTATATTAATGTGTTTAAAAAGTTTTTTTTTTTCTATCTGCATATTCATCAAACCAAAAAAAAGAAACTCATTATAATGTCGAGCAGTTTCTTTCTTCCTTACAAGGACCGATTCTTTTTTTAAGAAAAAAAATGCCTTGTTATTACTCTCTTAAGTAAGAAAGAAGTGAGTAAATTTGCCTTCCTTTCATTCAAAGAAGAGCATATTCTTGTACAAGGTAAAAAGAAGAAGGTAAGTATTCAAAACTAGAATAGATGCATACCTTTCATTATTAGAATCATTTTTTGGATTCTTCAATATCTTTTTTCACTCGATCTACTTGCATATTCATGTAATAATATTCTTTTTTAGGTTTCT